CTGTTTATTTCCACCACCTCAAAGCCTTTCTCTCGACTCATCCGCCATATCTCTTGGTTTGCGTTGACCACTGCTCTTTGCAGGTTGCTATCACACACCGGTACATCCGGTATCGTGCATATGACTACCTGCACCTTAGGAGAATTGGCGCGCATGTCATCGACGCCTCTCGCTAGTGTGGCTGCTAGTCCTGCTGCATCTTCATTTAGGACATCGTTAACCGCCTGAAATTATCACGAGGTTGCGTCTATCAGCTGTCGTTTTGAGCTTTGCGCTCGCTTGCTTCATGACTGCTTCCAGCTTGCGTCCTGGGAACGCCCCTACTGCAACCCTCTTGTCACCTCTTACCCTCTCTTTGATGGCTTCTGTGCATCGATTTAAATTTGAGTCCCCGGCGATTATCACATGCTGTGACTTTTCCGCTGGAGCGTTCTGCACCGGGGGGCCACTTGCACCTGTGTCGCCGGCTCTTTTGTTCCCTTCCTGCCTCACCACTACCTCGCTGAAGCTGGGCCTTGCGACAGTAGAACCGGCTAAACCTGTTTTTTCCAAGCTTGCTTGCTTCTGCTTCTCCACGGTTCTCGTTGCCGGTTCCCTACTGTTCTCTCGGTAGGTCGCTTCTTTGTTCAGCTTCGCTAGCCCTTCCTCGGCGGACTTCAGTCTTTCTCCCATTGCCCTCGTTTTTTCTTGCTCTGTCGCCAACGCAGTCTCGAGTTTGGCGATTCTCATCAGCAGTTCACTCTGGGCAACCATCATTCTCTCCATTTTTTCCTCGACCTCACATTGCCTACACTTCGCGTCAGCCTCTTCTTCATCCGCTTCTACGCTTGGGTTCACTTTCAAACCCACTCTACATCCTGAACACTTTACAGTCTTTTTAACCATGCCTTTCTGACACCAATTGTCCCTATACTCGATAATTACTAAACTCGAGCCCTGCACTACGAAAAAAAAGGAAGTCCAAGCTCTACTACAAAAATTTGCGTGTTCAATGTACGCGCACCTCCCCAACGGGGTGGCAAAAGAAAAAAAAACAACAAAAAAAAATTCAAAGACACACACCCGCACTAACTAATAAATACCTGGTGACTGGTCCCGAAAAAGCCGCACCATAAAATAAGTGCTACGAAGATTTCAACCGCTGCCTTATAATTATAGAGACAAACTCAAAACATGCAACAACACTTATCTGCGCAATCGATCCGGAGCGCTCAAAAAACACGTCCATCCACCTTGACAGCCTGAACTGAACTACGCACGCGTGGACAAGTAGCGGCCTCCTGCGGTGATCTCTGTAATGAGCGAGCACTTCATGTTCAAACCAACCAATGGTTGATACATGGTTTGTTGACGTGTGATTTTTGGGCATATAACGTGATTTGTCGAGAGAAGAGAAAGCCATTTTCAGCTGACTTTGATAATTTATAGTGAATTCCAGGCTGCGTCATGTGCTATAATATTTTGCTCGCGTGTTGTCTGACGCCTTTACTACCGATCGGCAGCGTTTTCTGACCATGCTCAAAAAGTGTTGCAGGGCCTCTTCAAGAAAAAACATGGCGTGCTACGAGTAATCTGAAGTTGAGAGCTAATAGGTGGTCAGGTGGCGTTCTGCAGTGCTTAGAAAGTGCAACAAATTCACCTACTTAGACATAGTGCATCAGCCAAGCATGCAATGATGAAATTCGGTTCGAATGTCAATGCCGGACCATTCCCAATCCTATGTTCGCTTAAAAGGCGGCATGAAGGAATCGTAAAAGAAAAGATCTTGTGTGCGGCCTCACTGGTGACCACCTGCTGGTCACACGGGTTGTAATGCACTAACTCACCAGAGCAGGATTGGCCCCCCTGGTGCAGTACTGGGTCACTACCTCCTATACTGACACATGAATTAGCCCTCAGTCCTCAGTCCCCAACGGCGGCGAAGCAACTGTCCAAGGCGGCGGTCAGACCTGTGGTGCAGCAGATGGTGCTAGGAATCTCTGGGTCCACACAGGCCGCCATTGAAATCTGAATTTGCTATGTTTAACGCTAGATTGCTATTTAGTGAGGCTAATCAAGCTGTGCTATTTGAGGAATTAGAGTGTGTTAAATGGGATGTAATCGGCCTCAGCGAAGCTAGGAGGACACATGAGGCTTATACAGTGCTGAAGAACGGACACGTCCTATGCTACCACGGAACAGTTGACAGAAAAGAAGTAGGGGTGCGGTTTTTGTATACACAAGAATATAGCTGGCAACACAGAAGAATACTATAGCATCAGTGCGAGGGTGACAAGTATCGTAATGAAGTTTAACTAAAGGTACAAGATGAAGATGTGATTTACATCCCTACACGCCTGCATGGAGGCATGATGATCATTCTGTTGAACGCTTCTACGAAGAAGTAGAGTCAGTAATTAATAAAGTAATGACACAGTATACTATACTGATGGGCGACATCAATGCCAAATCAGGCAAGAAACATTTACTGATTGACATGTGGGGCTTAACGTCCCAAAACCACCATATGACTATGAAGTCGGAAGTTCGGTATATTTTTTGCCACACTAAATACAAAAACTTTAGATCTGGTTTTGAAGGTAAGAAAAAAGCTACTCATATGTAGCTTAACTGGCCCCACCTCAAATTAACCAGCAGCGAACACTTTAGAAGCAGATGCTGGAGGGCTCCAAAAAGTTCGACCACCTGCAAGGTTTCTTTAACGTACACCTAGATATAAGCGCACGGGCCTAAAAAATTTTCGCCTCGATTGGATATGCGGCCGCCGCGGTCAGTATTCGATCCCGTCGCATTTTCGATGGAGGCGAAAATGCAGCCTACTTCACGTTTGCCGCATTAGCCAAGGTTGAATTCACAAAGAGCCTTGTTAAGGAAAGGCAAGATAAGTCGAACATAATCAAACTAAACTGTACATGAGAGCTACTTATTAGGTCATGCATAATTAAGTCTAAATAAGCCAGAACTAATCGCGTGGAAATATTCTAAGCACAGTTTCGCATGAGCCCAGAGAAGCCAAGCTTTGGAAAATACTGATCACTCCAACCCACGAATAGCCGGATCAGACTTGAATAAATACTAATAGTGTCAATTAGGACTAATTCTACTTATGATTTATCAAGTAGTGTGACATGAAATCAAACGCACTCGATATACCCAAGCTTGAAGTGATGAAATCAGGCTGAACGTGACTAATTACGATAATTAGGTGAAGCCATGGTACTTATCGATAAACTTGACTAAGCATAGCTATGCATGGTACTGTTTAGCTAATCCACTCATAATTGAAAATAGTTAATCCGGAACTACGTAATACCAACTAATTCACACAATACTCGAATTCTCAATGAAGCTAGCGAGGGCAAGCTCCCGAGGACTTTAATTGCTATTAACATATTTAAGCCCTGTTGTGCTCAGTTAAGTCTAATAAGTGCTCATCAGGAGCACTCTCAATTACCTATAATCATAAATTTTATGACATTACACCAAACTGACCCCTAATACTTGGTTTCGTGTCGCGTGATTATGCTAATGATGCCTAACTTATTAGGCATTATTAGCATATGATTAGCTAGTAAAGCCCTTTTGCGATTGAGATAAGCTCTCACGTCACACAGCACCACCAGAAAAATATTTAATTGTGCTTGGCTTTATTGCGTTTATGATGCTAACTATTCTTAGTTATGCTAATTATTTCGTGTCAAATGCGATGCACGCCCGGTACTTAAGCTGACCCCGCCGCGATCGCTGCTGCCCAGATGCGAATGAGCAAGAAAAGTGACACCAGTGTACGTTGGATGTTTTGTCTACGAGCACCATAACCACTTCTGAAAAAGCAACATGACAGGCCATGGACCAGATATGACAGGACGCCCATGCGCAATACTGCTTCAGTGGTTCTCTTGATAGGAGGCGCCGCGTTGTTACATGGCGCCACGATGCATTCCAGCATACGATCTGTGGTCTTCTTACTTTCGATCACGCCTGTACTTCACCAGCTAAATTTTACTTCGCATATTGATGTACATACTCATTAGTCTATTGACCGCTGCAAACAAAATGTTGCAGGGGTTTACTTTGGCATAGCAGGAGGAGGAGGAAGGAAGGAAGAAGGACAGGGGGTTAGCCAGTTCTCAGACTAGCTGGCTGCCCTGTCTTGCATAGCAGATTTCTGAATAGAGAGTCGGCTCTGAGCAAGTGTGAAGCTCAGCACGTGCCGAGGTATTTGATTTTGGTATGGCACTGCATTTTCTTATGGCGCACTCAGCGACATCACCGCTATAGGGGCGCCACGACACAGTATCGATTCAGGCGACTGAACACACGGGTTGTGGTGCTACGTTTCAAAACGATGAAAGTGGCTGTTCGTGCATCGTCAACGGAGCCACGAAGGCAGCGGAAAGGTTCCGATATTTTGCGTTAGCACGTTACTAGAAGTTCATTATTTGCCGAGACTGGGGTGCAGTAGGAACCGAAGTTACCTTTCTAAAACATGCCTTAGTTCATTTGCCTGGATCATTCACCCATATAAGACTCTTGAAGTACTGGGCTTTCATTCTAAAAAAAAAAAGACGACAAAAATTGTGTCAGAAACCATTTAACTTCACTTATACACTTCTTACTAGAGCATTTTCCACGGCATCACTTCGTCTTCAATAAAGTCCAAGTATGACCCTATGTAACTGTGTCATAGCGGCACACGGTGATTTCTGGCGGTAAGTCGGTTTTTGGCATACGTGTCAACATTTCTGTTTGCGTTTGCAGAGTTCTTCAAGGCTTTTTATTTTTTTATTTTGTGCAGTGCGCCGGTGACGTTCATTGCGACATTACAGCTGATGCGTTGTCTGTTAAGACGTTTGTGTTTTTCAAGTGGCACTAGTCGAAGCAGTCAAAGTCATACGCAGTCAAAGTATTGCCGATCTCAACCGGTATCAAGTCCCTTAACGTCAGTCCGCGTAGCTGTCGACAGCAGAGTAATCGCGAATTCATATCAGAGTGTGTGATTAGCTCTCGGTGCTGTTGTTTTCAGTTGTTTGAACGTTCTGGTCACCAGATCGCACAGCCGAATGGCCCAAGCGGGTAGCGTAATGTTCCTCTTTGTTCAAGAAAAGAGCAGTGATCATAGCGTCCATGCGACGATCATGCAGCAGCGATCGCTCAGACTCGATCTTGGTACGACACAAGGGGCACATTTGGTTGCCCCTCTCCAAAGCCGTAGTGATGTACTTCTCGCAGAAGCGATGCCCGCACTCCCTGACGGTGTCCTTGAGCAGGCCGATGCACACAGCGCACGTGAACTCTTTACGTACGCTATCGGCATGCACAGCTGCCTCAGTGTGGTCCGTGATGGCCTCCTGAGGCGTCCGCTGTTCCTCGTAGCTACTCAGACGCCACTTCCCGCTGGCGGAACTTGCTGGGCCGTTCGATGTCATGTTTGGTAGTAAGCCAGGGAAACACGCAAACGTGAAGCACGCAACTTCCGCCGTCTCAGCACCGCCGTCTTCACGGATCAATGAGAAGTGCGTGCGCGGCTTCGTGCAAGTGCGACAGAGGTCGCGCATTTTGTAGAGCAGTTGGCCTGTGAACACTGCGCGGCAGGCCTTATTTCCGACAAAATACCTGTAATTCAATGCAAGCAACATCAGCGTGATAGTTACATAGTGGCATTGACAAGGTGTATGTGACGCGTATGTTTTTCTTGGAGCAAAAGCTGTTGTGATACCACAACAAGCGCTGAATAGTTGTCCTCATCCACTGCCGTCGGTGTTCGTGACCACTATCATGTGAAATAAGATAAAAAAAATGAAATGAGAAAACGAACATCTAGGATCGGACCGGATTTGAACCCGGCCAATATGCGTGCCAGTAAGGTATCTAATTACGTAATCATGCTTATTTGCTTGAAATTCTTGCGCGAGAAAACATTCTACCAGCGCAATGTCGAGCGAGAAATCACGATGATATGTTCAATATAACGTGGCAGAAGGTAATCATATTTGGTGTTTTACGTCCAAACACCAGGATGTGACTATGAGAGACGCCGTAGTGGACGGCTCCGAAAAGCTTGATCATCTCGTGTTCTGTAACGTGCACGGACATTGCACAGTACACGGGCCTCTGCCATTTCGCTTCCATTGAGATACGCCCGCCGTAGCCGGAGTCCAACCCACAACCCTTGTGTCAGCAGTCGCGAACCCTAGCCGCTGATCCAGTCAGGCGGACAGCGTGGCACAGTGTAAAAAAAAAAAGACAGCTGCAGAGCTGCAGGCGTCACAGAATGCTGATTGCGCAATGAGAGAGTGGTGCAAAGCTTGTCACCCCCTACAAAAGGCTCATCCATAATTCTTCAGCGTCATCAGCCGCATCAACACAGCACGTAATGCACGGGTACTTCGCTCATGCGCAGAAACACGAATAATGAATGGCGTAACGGGTGCTGACCTATTTCACAAAGGTTATGGTTTATGGCGTAGTGAATACCTTCCACTTGCACTCGCCTCACAAGTTGCCTCACAAGGATTTAGAACAGGCTCTAAAAAGGCCACCCTTTTACCTTTCGCGGTCACTGTGCTGCACAGACTGGAATATACTACCAACTCCGAGGCGGGTAATTCGACAGATTTAGTTGGGCAACCGCAGAAGCTCAGTGGACGCATGCAGCCTGCCAGCCATCTCTATAATGGCAGGATGTTGCGAACGCTCAACTAAATTATGTATATTGTTCGGTGAAGGCCGCCACGCCACCTGAGGACAGGTTTTTTTATGTACCCGACTCTTCTATTCAGATCACCTGGCTAGTATATTTAAGCACGTTTTGAAACTTATACAAGCAGCAGGTAAGGCTGACAATACCATGGAGATGATGTACTCTGACTCGTGTATCAAATGTTGACGCGTTCCACTGCAGGCGAGCGTACAGGGAGTGTGCACTCAAACAGAGCGCAGGAGTGCGCCGGGTGGGGTGCCATTTCTGAAGTTGTCACGCAAAAAGAAAATAAAAAAACGACCTATGCTTGTCATTGTGTTTGGTGAGTTTGTGCGGTGGGTGTCGTGTGGTGTACCCTGGCTTCCCGTGTATTCGCGTGTTGCATTTACAGTACTGCGGCGTTGGAAGATTCCTCCGCGTGCTGCGTCAACCTGCAAAAGTGGTTAGGCCTCAACTCTCCGTCGCTACGTCTTTTGATAATGCAACTGATGTTTTCGCTCTGCCGTGTTTGAAAGATGCAGGTCGGCCACTACGCGAAGTCACTGTCTCACCGCGAGCCCAACAGTCACGTCATTTATAAGTCCCAAAATGCGGTGGCGATGGCCCCTTGCATAGTGCTATGCGATGACTACTTCACGAAATATGCGTGCCGCGGTGGGGCCAAGGCACTCAGCTGCTGACCCTTAGATAGCGGGTTCGATCTCGGCAACGGTTCTAACACCCTAATCCCGGCCGCGGCGGTCGCATTTCGATGAAGGCGAAATGGTAGGGACCAGTATATTGTGCGATGTCGGTATACACGTCAGAGAACTTCATGCGGTCGAAATTCCTGGAGACATCGACTATGGCGTATCTCAATCATATCTTGCTTTTGGGATGTAAAACCACACAAATTATTATTACTCCACGAACGATGTCGGTTCTTATCGGCTAAGAGAGAGAGAGTGAGAATTTATTAGACGGCAGAGAGGTCGGCCTGAGCTAGTGCGCTTTAGCCTGCTACTATACACAGGGGATAATGGAAAGGGGAAGGAAAGAGGGATGAAGGGTGATGATGGAGACAAGAAGAGGTGGTGCATATGTACAGTAGCCACTTAGTATAGTACCCTACAGTCTAGTATCTAGTCCAGTGTTTTTTATAAAGTCTAGAACAGCCTTTGTAGCAGTTTTTGATACTATTTGGTCGTTCATTGCTGACAATATGTGGCTTTCACTTAATGGCGTTCGTCCGATTCTTGCCAACGTTGCAGTTAGCATTTTTCTTTGCGTCACGTATAATGCACAGTCACAAAATATGTGAGCTATCGTTTCGCGCACTTGACAGCGCTTACAATTCGGGCTGTCCGCACGGCGGATTAGGTGGGTGTAGTGGCGAGTGAAGGCGACGCCCAGGCGAATTCGGTGCAGTATATTAGCATGTCTTCGGCTGATTTCATCTGGAAGACGAAAAGTCATACCGGGGTCTGTTTCTCGCAGGCGCTTGTTCCGGTGATCTGGTAGCGACCAGTAGGTGGCAGCACATTCGCGCATGAGCGATCTCAACAATGTGTTGACGTCACTTAGCGAATATGGTACTTTAACGTACATAGAAGCGTTGTATACTGCCGCTCTTGCTTCGTTATCGGCTGTTTCGTTGCCAACCAGGCCGCAGTGTCCAGGCATCCATTGGAGTGTAATCAAGTGACCGCTCCTGTGTGTTAGGTCAAATGCTCGGACGATTCCTAACGCTAACTCGTAAAATTGACCTCTTTTTGAGCAAGAATGGATAGCTTGAAGCGCTGATTTTGCATCAGACAGAATCGTCCATTTACGCGGTGCTTGGTCGTGCACACATTATATGGCTTCTTGTATAGCAACAAGTTCTGCAGCTGTCGAAGATGACCGGTGGTCTAATTTGTACTGTCGGGAAATACCGAGTTGAGGGATCATGAAGGCTGCAGCTGAGGTGGATGAGGTTACGGATTAATCGGTGTAAATCTGCACAGAGTGGCTGTATTGGTCATCCAAATGTGCCAAGGTGAGTTGCTTGAGGGCAATATAAGAAACACGCGACTTATACGGAATTCCACGTATGTGAAGGCACACCAGCGGTTTAGTCAATGTCCATGGAGGCACTGCAGGGATTACGGCAGGTGCAAAGCCTGAAGGGATCGTGTGTCTATGCGTATCGAGGCATCGCGAATAGGCACACCTTGGTCGGTCCACTTGTAGCGAAGACAACGGGTGCTGTGCATGTCGGGTCAGCAGACGAAGGTGCACTCGAAGAGGCTCACAGGACGTGTAAACCTGTATAAGGTAGGTGCGGGACTCCTCTATAGTACCATAGGTTGACGTGCACCGTGGCAGGCCAAGGCATATTCTCAGTGCTCGTGCCTGAAGGCCCTCTAAAGTACGAAGGCACGTTGCCCGCATGCTGGAAAGTACAGTTGAGCTGTACCGCATATAGCCCACAAACAATGCCTTGTATAAATGCAGAAGACTTTTCTCTAAAGGGTCCCATCTCAGTCATGCTATAACACGAAGAACATACACAAAATTGATTAGTTTGTTTTGCAGCACAGTCACATGCTTTGACCAGGACAAGTTGCGATAAGATCAACTGATATCTGGCTCAAGAGAAAAACTTCTTGACACGGGAGTTGGAAGAATAACAAATCCTTCTGGGCTCATAATTACGTCAGCGGCGATCTCGTGGAGTAACTATTAGGTTTTTGGTCGTTGTTGATCCATGTAGGCTCATAATTACGTCAGCAGCGATACCGTGAAGTAACTAGGGGCTAAGTTCTTTGTCATTGTTGCAGTATGTTATGCATAATCAGCCGCGGAACACGTGGCGGCTGCGTCTAGTTATTCGTAAATGTAGTAATAAGGAAAGCATAATCAATCGCCATTCTTGCACCCTGCACCACACTTTCGTGTCGCCATTTAGTAGAACTGCAACTTACCGATGACTTCATCGTGCCTTTCGCGCGCGTGGTTTGCTCGTAAAGGTTAATCGCGTATAAGTTAAACAATGATTTATTTATCTTGCCGTCAATGTGCAGGTCCATCACTCATACACATTCATGAAAAGGCCGCTGCGGCCCTGGTGACTGAGTAAGGCCGACGAAGCTGTGTGCGCCCATCCCAAGTGCGTGGCTGACCTCAGAAGGCGTGCTCACACGTTCGAGCAGGGCACCCCGCAAATGTGGTAACGGGAGGCCAATTAGTCTACGTCTTCGCAGGCCAACCTAGTTCGACTTTCGGCACGAAATGCAAATATACACAAAATTCTCGTTCGGTGAACTTTTTTTTCGTGCTGCTGTAGCAACCGTAAGCCTCTCAGTAGACCAAATTTGATTTTATTCAACTCGACGTACAACAACGCGTAGGGCGCTTTTACAAGTCCACGCGGCACGCAGAAGTTAGAGGTAACTTTCGCAGTATTATGAACGTAGCACACCAGAATAAGGATGTCCAGGGAACACCACACAGCGCCTATTACGAACACACAGCACACACAGTGTACTGGGTCGTCTACTGGGCGTCAATCTCAAGTGGCCCGACCACAGCAGTGGCAGAATCTCAGCAAATACTCTACTCCATTATTGACGAACAACCATCCTATAATGCAAAGTTCATTGAGATAACAGGCGTAGGAGCGTCGTGCATTGACGTGTGTGGGGCGGAGACCTGTACTGAGAACAGGGCCTCTCGATCTGCCACTGGAACGCGACACCGCTTTCG